ATAAGCACATGCACACCCTCGCCTCCCTTTCCAGCAAACACTCACACACACAAGCACAATCTATGAAAATATGCTTAGCTTGGGACCGCTCTGTTGATAATGACCTCAGCCTTGGCACCGCACTGGGCCAGACCAGACTGCCGACAGACAGGAGGCTTTTGTGTGGACTCCCTATCTCTAACTCCATGACCTTTAGGGGGGAGAAGAAAGCAGAATTGCTTTTTTTTTTTTTTATTTAGAAGGGGTACGACACACTCATTGTTCTGTGTTGGTACAGTTTCCCTGTGGTAAACACACAGCGGTTCCCAGGCTTGACATGTTGCTGCCCCGCCACCTCCCACCCTCCCTGCCTCCATCCATCCCTTGGTGTTCCCACACTGCCCTGTCTGGCTTGCTGCACCATACCCCCTCCACCCCACCCCACCCCACCCCACACATGCAACACACAAACACGCTATCGCCTCACCCATCAGCGCAACACTCAATGACAACACAATTACATACAGACTCACTTTTTCTGTACCTGCCACCAGAGTATCGTTCAAAAAATAATACTTGTGTGTGTGCTTTTTCCAGCATTATGAAATTCCTTGGATAAGTGATGGGCTGAGATGGAGGACTGCAGTTGGAAAAGAGGGGAGTTGAGACGGGAGAGAAGCCCCTGGGGCAGGGCCGCTGCTGTGTCAGGGCCTGAGAGGGGACCCTCGACAGGGCCTGGAAGCTCCCTAGTTGCTGGGGACATGGGACCATCCTTCAAGTGGGTGACAACAGCGCATAAACAAACCACTAACCTCATCAGCTCTGTGTTTACAGCCCTGAGACCGAGTCCTGGACGACTAATTAACATCAGAGACCTTCCAAATAAGGGGTATTTTTTGGGAGAGGGCGGGAGAGAGGAACCCTTCTCCCCACGAAAGAGAGGAGGAAAGTGGACGACATGTCAGACAGATGGGGGCGTTGATAGATGAGAGGGCCCGGGTCACAGTGAACCTGCCCCCGCCAACCAAACCCCACCAACACACACATACAGACACAAACAAACATACAGTTGTACCTCAGGACTCAGTTAATACACCCATAAAGGCTGCATGTGCTTCTGTGTGCATACGTGTCCGTGACATGCTTTACACCTGGTTTGACAAGCATTCAGCAGCCGTCCCATTATAACAAGCAGAAATGCTACGCTGCATGTTTGGAAGTGTGCTTGCTCACTTTCACAACCTCTGCAGACAGATCCTATAATTGTTCTGTGGCCATGACATTGAAGTGGAAAAATGTAACTCCTCTAAAAAAGGTACTGACAGAAACCTTTTACACAACAAGCATTTGTGTCAACGATACAAGTGGCGTTCCTTCAAGTTTAAGTGAGCATTTCATGCACAGTCTGTCATCTAAAGCAAACACACAAACTAAAAAGGGAAAAACAAAGTTAGGGATGAAGTTATTGAATGTTCCATTGAAACGTTAAAAATAATAAATCTTTATTTACCCTGGTGGGGATGTGAAATAGTCCTTCTTGTTTCAAATTCAAACCAATTGATTTTTATTGTTATTTAATACTTCACACAGAAAAAAATATATAGGGGCCTTTGTTATATATTTGCATTAAAAATCAAACTCAGAGCAGCATTAACAAAAGCCAAGAAAGAGGAGTCACCTCTGTCGTGGGCCCCAGTGACTCTCGACCCATGAGCTTGTGCACTGAGGGAGATTTGGGACATTTGCGCACGGAGCTTTGGCACCAAGCGCAGCGGAGGCAACGAGCTCTGCTCCGGGACAACAAGGGGCTGTTTAATGGGAGGGTCTCTATTTCACTTCCCTCGCGCCGGCCCGCTCCTTCTCACCTTTTAAATGGGCCGATCTATTAACCGTTTTAATGAGCTCCGCCAGACAAACGCGGGATGCATGGCCCATTGCACAAAGTGAGGAGGACGACGCGCTCCTCGGCTGCGGAGAGGAGGAGGAGAGAGACCCTGACGGACAGCGAGATCCCGAGGCCTCGTGCACACGCACATGCACAAACACAGCTTCCAATCAGGGGGGGTCAATTTGAAAGATAATGCATCTAGAAAAATGTCAGCCACATTTCTGAAGACAGGCGGATCAGTGAGTGATGGCTCAAAAATATTGTAAAATTTGCAAAATGGGATGAACGATTGTAAAGTCTGTGGACACACACACACACACACACATAAGTGATTTTAATGCTGCGTTGACACTGGTTAAACTTCCAAATATGTTTCAGGGAACTTCACCATTAATTTTCATAAAAGTTAATATTTACAAGCATAGAGATGCAAGCATAGATAAATCAGTTAATGGTTAAACGTGTATGTTTCCAGGTCTTTGGACAAACACAGGATTTGAATGCTACACTGCCACTTGTTAAGTTTTCAAAATGTGTGTCATGGAACCTCTCATTTAATTTGCCTAAAAAATCTGATTTAAATGGTATAGATGCGTAAACTTCAGTTATTATCCACGGTGGCTAAATGATTATCAGATAAACAAGTCTATCCAGGTCTTGGGACATGCATATGATTTGAATGCAGCATGTGCCACTTGTAAAACTTCCAAATGTGTCATGGAACCTCTCCTGTAATTATCCCAAATTTCAGATTTAGATGTTACATAGATGCGTAAATCACAGTTATTAGTCTCAGTGGCTTGTGTGAGATTAATCGCTATTGAGATGACTCCTGACAATTTATCAAAGCCCTCTGAACACACTGTAATCAAAACGGTTTTATTGGGGCACAAATATGCTAAGTGGCTCTTTAATTGGCCCTGCACACCGAGCTGGAGTTTGACTCTTCCAAGTTCTCCTCGTCCTCCACCTCCTCTTCTTCCATCTCATTCACCGCGGGGTGCGGCCCTCATGTGCGCGCCTCGGCTAAACTTAGTTGGGGAAGCAAACGCGAGTTTTGCGGCCGCACCACATTACATCTGGACTAATCAGCTCGGCCTCCATCAGTTACTCACGTTTACCACCTCTCCATCACCTCATCTGCATATAACCCTTCTCCTGTTTTTGGAAATCACACGACTGTTTTGCGAGGAGGCCCTCCCGCACATGCCCGTTTTTAACACGACTTCTCTGGACACACACTGAACACAGAGCCCATATGAGGGGTCTGGGAATTTAAATATTCACTGTTGACACTGTGCAGACCTGGCTGGGGGCCAGGGCGAGCCCGCTCCTCCAGGGGGACGCACACAACACCCCCTCCTATTCTGACCCAAGAGGTAGAGACCCTCTATCCCGAGAATATTAATCTTTAAATACACAGCGAATAATAGGCTGTAGCTGCCGTATTCACAGAAGGCCTTTAATGGTTGTCAAATATGTAGAAAATGGTGCAGTTGTTGCTTGTTCTCCTCTGGGTGCGTTTTCTGAGCCCGGTAATAAAAAGTCTTATTCTGAGGCAAAGTGTTGTGTTTCACAGTCTCAGACAGAAAGAAAAACAAGTGGTTTCTTTCCTCATGATGATGATGATGATGATGATGATGATGATGAGTGTGTGTGTTTGCCCGTGCACGTTCATGTCGCCACCACATTCAATAGAATCACACTAAAGTACTGACTTTATATATATTGTCTTTATTATAGCTCTGATATCTCTGTGAGGACAAACCAATCAAACACATGTGACCCTTCTCCATAACCTGCTGCTTATTGGCACCAACTGTACAAATCAGTTTAAACATTATATTGCAGCTATCTTGTTGTTATAGTGTTTTTCTTAAATTGTATTTTGCTTTATTTTTAATGCAAACATGCAGGGCTAAATGCACAATGCAAATACTGAGCACTGATCTAACTGAAAGTCTTTGAAACTCATGAAAATCCTGAGCTTGCATGCAAAACATAACATTGCATGCAAACACTAAAATACCACAGGCCTGCGTCATTACAGTGGATTGTTGCTATTCTGTTATTTCATATCTAAAACATTTATTCCAGAAATAAAATTGCAATTTTTTTTTTTTTAGATTAATAGTGTGCTTTCAAAATCAAATGAAAGGCAACACAGCACATGAATGTATATATGCACAACATCACAGGAAAAATGCAACTGCAACATGCAGATTAGAGCAGCTTCAGAAAACACAATATAATTATTGATAATTTATTGCAATGCATGAATAGCTCCATCGATCATCTCGCATAAAGTATTATAGTAGATCTAATTAATGAAGTCGATTTAATGACGAGAGTGTTTCGATATTTTACTTCACTTGATACAACTAATTAGATAGTTGAAGTTATAGATTTCTCCTGAATGATTTTTGCAGAGTGAGGAGCTGCGTCCTGCAAAAATCAAACCACATAAAATATAACACTGCAGCATACAAATAAATTAAATTATTACACTATATGCATTAGTTTTTTCCGGAATGGTATGAGATCTAACAACAAACACACATGAAGCATTCACAGGACTTCGGAGTGAACTGCATGCCTCACAAACAAGATCCCCTCCACTGCAACATTTACCACGTCTGCCTAAATCCGCCTTTTCTTGTCGTTTCTCTCCATCAATCTGTTTTTTATTTCTTTCTTTCTGCATTTAATCCGACTTGCTCCTCCGGCAAAAACTGAAGAGACCAGCAGCACCAAGCGATACAGCACCGCGCAGCTAATACAATGCAACTGCCGACGCACAGGACATGGGGAATTTAACCCACTACATTACACTACAGCGCCCACTACATGCAACCAGCAAATCCAATATACAGGAGCGGACGCCCTGCACAAAAGTTCCTCCATCGCTCCCCTCAACTTTAAAGTTTACACTGCTACACTTTTTTCCCTTCTTCTCCTTCGCGACAACAACATCATTCTGTTACTCTTTACGCGTAAAAGTGTGGATTTCCTGGAGGAGAATGAAATGGTTACAGAAAGTATAAGCAGACGCGGTGATAACAGCGATAGGTAAGATATTAAGACGGCATGTTTGAAAAGGAGAAGAAAAAAAAGAAAGGGATGTTGCACCTACTCGTGGCCAGTTTCCGTGCCCTGCCTTTGGACCTCATGCTGCCCAGTCTCTCGGCGTGGGTTTGTTTGGATTTTTTCTCGGATCTTTTTTCCTCCTTTTTGTTTTTTTTTCTCTCTGGTTCCCCCTTTTTTCTCTGGGTTTCTCAATCCAAACCAAACGCGCTATCTCTCCAGCATTGTCAGTCCCGGGCACCTTCGCACATGCGCACAGCCCCCGAAAAATGTGCCGGGCAGCAAGTGCCAGAAAAAGTTTGGGGACGATTTATCACTGGTGATATATTAACCTGGAGACGTTTCGTGTGTGGATCGTGGAGATGCATCTGCCTCCTGCGACAACTTTTCAAACTATCAGAGTGAGAAAGCGGAGCGTGCACTGTAAAATAAAAAGATCAACGATGGTGCAGCCTCAGATTCAGTCGTGCGCTCTTGTTGAACTGACGCATGAGTAAACTTTGTAATGGAGATGCGTCCAGTGCAGGTTTTATAATAAAACAAATATTTTAGATCAAAGTGAACCACAATGATGCAAGCACATTAATTTCTTAAAAAATAAGAATGAAAGAGTGTTTAAGGCTGAATCCTCGGTGCAATACTCTGTCATGTATGATATGTTTTACAGCGCACATACATCGCCGATGACGTTAATTATAACAACTCTTCTCCTAAGTCCTTGTTGCGCACCTTTTCTGTCTTAAATGTTTCAATTCATTACACCGATGCCAAAATGTTACATACGTTATTTGTGTTTTGACTATTACGCAGAGCATTGCATAGAAAATGAATGAAAAACGTCCCCCCTCCCTCTCTCTCTCTTTCTCTCATGGGCACCCGACTGACAGCTATAATATGAGAGTGCACCGTTTTTTTCCCTCTCTCTCTTTCTCTCTCTCCCTCGCTCTCTTTCTGTGCTGACAATTATTAATATGTTAAGTGCTTATAGCATGAATGCCTGTTTGAGACATCTCGGTTGCAGTGCGTAAATGTCATCACTTGGTAATTGCCGAGGGCTCGATAAGAATGTTTTAATTGACTTCACATGGAAGGAGGAAGGATGTATCAAAAAAGAAAGAAAGAAAGAAAAAGGGACTTGACTGAACCTTCATCTCAGTGGGTGGAATAATGTCTGCATCGACATTTCTTATTTCACTCTGGATTTTTCAGAAAACGGCCACACTCATAAATGCCATCCAAGGCCCTAAAAGTCAATAAAACCACTGCATGTCTGCTGTTATCACATCAACGTTTTATAGAAGCATATTCAGAGACTGAGCCATAGCAGTCATATCAACAAAAGAGCAGCGGTCAGATACAAAAACAGATAATCCGGATTTTTTACATTTCATTCTATTACTAAAATGTATAAAGAAAACGAAATCATAGTGAGGTATGTTGATACGTCCTTAAATAGAGACGGGGTATAATTAAAGTAATTGGCAATTAATTAGATCCGCATGAGGTCACCCTGACCTTGCAGATGAACTCTTTAATGGCTTGTGAACTCGAGCCATCGATTCCAAATCGTGTTGAAACTGATTGGAGTCGTGACATCATGCAATGTCAAGGAAAACAAACTGACCAGGAGCAAAGCATGTCATTCTGTAATGTTCCAGTAACGTAGATACGCCCTGTGCTTTGTGAGCGAAACGGAAACACACAGATGACAATTATTTCTGATGGACATGATTTCAACCACGTCTCAGAATAAAAGACAGTTTCAGTGCAAAGTGGTAAATTAAAGTATAGCCTATGCACTTGCAGTGCACTCTTTTACGCACAATTGCGTTAAAGGGCACATTTTATTTCCCCCCCAATTTTATAGCCTATTTCAAATTTGTCCAAAAATCAATTCTTCCTAAACTAAACTAAGCTAAACTAAACTTTGGGAAGTCCCGGAGCTGATGTTCCCCATTTAACTGTCTCGAGTGAAGAGAGGTTAATACTGACTCTTTATTGTAGCTCGTACCTCACCCTACCTCCACTGTAATGACATAAATGCTGCTATTAAACGAGCCGCGCCGTGCCCGAGAGGGTGGCGCGCACGAACACGGGAGAGAGAGGGGGAGAGAGGGAGGGAGAGAGAGAGAGAGGGAGAGAGAGAGAGAGAAAGAGAGAGAGAGAGAGCTTGGGGCGGCGCGCTCAATTAGACTAAATGGAAACAGTTTTCATTCACCACAATAACTCACTCCTCTCTCTCTCTCTATCTCCCCCCCCCACCTCTCTCTCCATATTTTATTATGACATGCTGAACCCAGTGGCAGGGCGGAGCGGCGCGCACATCCCCGCAGAACCGTGCCGCGTAATTATTAGAAATTAATTGGGTTCGAGACCCAGATGTGGGTATATACTAAAAAAACAACAGTGCCTCACTTTTGCTCTTGAGGGTCAAATTCGCAAACAAACAGCTATTAACGAATGAGTCCCATTCTGCACCGCACATCTATTTTCTAATCTTCGTCCAAACAAAATGAATGTGTTGTAGATGTAGATTAAGCGGTGAAGGGGTTAAAGGAATAACACGGTGCGTATTGGGGCTGCGCATGGACGCAGACTAAAAGTGAAAAGGGAGCCTCCGGCGTAAGGAAATTACCAGCGCCCGCGTGACCTTTGAGAAAGGTAATCAATCAAGTGATCAACGGGGATATTTATCACTGCTTCGTCCAAGCGAACCTGCAGTCTGGAAACAAAATAATGTTAAAAAAAACAAATAAATGAATGAATGGAATATTAACTTTGAAATGTTCGAATTAATAAAAATAAAAAATAAGGCATTTTAGTAAAATATTAATAATCATAACACCTTTTTTCTTATTATTAATCAAATCAAAATCTGGCTCATAATAGACATGAAGAGATATATATAACATGACTAAAAGAAAATATAAATTTCAACACTTGAGGCCCACATTATTTCCTGGCCCTTGAATATCATGGGCCTGTGGCTGCTGCATTTTAGACTATAACGTTTGGAGCATGTGTTCAGTAAGTGTTTTATTTTGTGCTGTGCATTATTACACCGACCCAGCGAATATAAAATTGCGATGATTTCTTGCTTTTATAAAAATTGTTGTTACATGTGTGCAGCGTGAGAACGATGTGTTTGGCTCAGGGCATGCTGCCCCTGTGTGGAGAATTATCGACCCAATCAAACGCAGCTTCCACCAGCTAATACAATAAAATATTAAAAACTTGGGTGGAGAAAATAATTCATGCTCTCTGGGCCAGTGTGTTTATATTTCTAGTTATTCACATTAATAAAAAAATAAAGCAGATAATGATATTGCTATAGAATAAAAGATGAGGAATATTATATGACAGCCAGTTTGATTTAACACACATCTTTAACGGTTTTATTTGTATGTTTTATTTCTGTGAATTGAGATTGAGTGCGACATCATGGGAAAATTGGATAAAAGTCATGCTTTAAAAGCCTGGTCATTTTCAAGGTGAAGGGAAATCCTTAAGAGCAAAGTGAAAAAGACACTGCTATGGCAAAAGATATCAAACATATTAAAGACAGATGTATTTTATCCACCATCATGTATTAATAAAAGCTTATGACAATCCTAGAACAGCTCTACATGCATTGATGTGTTTTGGTATACTCTTAAGTGGTGTTATCCCATATTTATTTTATACGAATACAATGCAATGATGCCTTATATTTTTATACCATCACATAATAACGATTCTACACTTATTTTAATTTAAAACAATATACTTTTGTCGAAATAAACCATGCCAGTGATAGTTCTTTAGCATAAACGTGGTTGTATAATACTAAGATAAAAAATAATATAATTTAAAACAGTATAATTACATGTGAGCATTCTAAAAAGATGTATTTTTCTTCTATTTCTTGGTGATCGAATAGGAGGACGCACAAACAAGGCTATAACAAACAGAAGTCACAAAAGCATTTCAATGATTTGAACCTACAAAATAATATAGTAATAAATACCAATAAAGATGCACGAACATGAAGCACCGTGACGAAAAAATATGGCTCGCGATATGGCTCAGAATTAGTGCTTGTTCCACTTATTACATGAGGAAGAGGCGGTGGGAAAACATGGTCGACGTAGTTGTTAAACATTCTTATACTATTGCGCCCTCTAGTGGGTAATATCCAGGAGTATTTAAATATGTAGTGAGAGGAAATGGTTGCTTCCCATTTATAATAAATAATGATAATGTACAGCAGTAGATAAAAACAAAACAACAGACTGAAATAACAATTAATAATTGATAAATATTCTTGTAAATGCTACAGCCACATTGTCACATTACGACTGTAGCAGCAAAGATACGAAAATATAGGTCGAAGTAATTGTGGGTTTTCTCATTTGAAGGCTTTGTATGGATAAAGTGAATGAATTTAAAAGCACAAGGTAACACGTGACAGATTAATGAGCTGCACTGGTTCCTACTGGAGTAAAGTGCATTTTAACAACAGCTTCTGGACCCAGTACTCGGCCTGGGAGACAGATTACGATGCGCTCCTGAGACAATTTGTGGAAGTAGTATTGATAGGGCTGGTGTCGGCCACAGACGTATTTATCTCTGAGGGGTGCTTGATGACAGGGGCGTGTACACCCCCCCACACACACACACCCGCACACACAAGATACAAACGCATCTCAATCAATTTCAACTGATGCTCCCCTTGCACCAGTATCAGAGATGTGACAACTAATCAATGGGACAGTCGATCAAGTTTATTTATCTCGGTTTCCAGTAACAGCAGACAGTGGGATCATTGTCAGGTTCCCGGTTGCAGGGCAATTAAAAAAAACAGATGGATGGGATGCTCGGGACATATTAAGAGAAAACGAGTCAACGGTGGCTAAGTGCTTAGGACAATGTTCGATTGAACTTGGAACAGACAAGATAAAAAAAAAAAATCAATAAATAGCTCAGTGTGAACAATATGGACATTGACTTTATGAATTAAGAGGTTGCCACAAGATCTGTGATGATATTTAACCTTGTCTGTCTCCTGAGACATCTACAATACACAGGGTGAGTCCTACTTCCCTCAACAAGACAAGACGGAAAGTGTCCACAGGAGAGGGAATGCAGCAGAGGGCCTCGTTTTCTCCAGACGCCAGAGACACTATATTTATTTTTTAAATGTAGACAAAGCAGAATAAGTTTTCATTCATGTTAGCATTATTCAGGAGCCT